ATTATTATTATTATTATTATTATTATTTTGGCTTATGTTAGGGTCTTTGTCAGTCACAATGGCAATTGTTGATCATTCATTAAACTGTTAAAGGCCCAATTTGATCCACTGCAAATCGGTAACTTCTTTTAATTTAGTGGCCATTTGAGAACATTTATTTTTTTATTTTTTATTTATGTTTTTATTTCTTCTATTTATGTTTTGATTTTAAATAAAATATATTTGATATGTTAAAATAAAATATGATTGTTTTTAAAAACAACTAAAAACCTATGGACCTATTTGGGATCATTTTTATTTTCTGGTTTAATATTAATTTGTTTTGTTTCAAAATAAAAATATTTGACATATTTAATTAGGACATAATTGTTTCATAAATACTCAAAATATTTAAAAGTTATTTTGAAGGTTTTTAAAAACAGGTCAATTTTTTTAAAAAATAATATTGGAAATATGTAAAAATGCATTAAACAAACATATTTAAAAAAATAACAAAAGTGAAAACAAAAACAGAAGATAAAATTGATCCCAAATGGGCCCTGAAAGTTGTTTTGATGTATTTAAAAATAAGTTGATTTGTTTTTTAAAATAAAAAATAAAAAAACATTTTAAAATATATACAAAACAAACATATTTTTAAAATAAAACAAAATAGAAAATAAAAATGTTTCCAAATAAATATTTAGCTTTACTCATCTTAGGTTTGGGGTTAGATCAATTGATGGAGTTATCAGAGGAATAACAATTCATTTTCCGTCCTTTAAGACGAAAGAAACTCCAACAAATCAAGGCGAGGGATATTTAAATCTGATTTTTAGACACTGTTCTGCTGACATAAGCCGCTACATGGTGGAGCAAGTATGAAAAAAATTCAAAGTAGAATGAGACTTTTTTCTGAAGTCTTTGTACAATATGCTATGAAGATTTCATCAACTTGGTGCTATATTTATAATAACCTCAGTTATATGTGCTCTATTAACAATTACACGAAGACCTAAGATAATTACAAGCTTAATATTACTGTGTGGCACAATTATGTTTAATAAAATTTCCGATCTTGCAAAATATTGGGATTGCATGGGAGCTTAAAGAGTTTTAGTATAGGTGGCGTTAGTTCCATGTAAAAAACAATGCACATATCGAAAATTGTGGATTTTAATTTTAGATCATTTATAAATACTCGTGATGATGATTATCTTTGAAACTTCTAATCAGTTCCTACTGTTATGATATTTTAAGCGTAATAATTTATTTTTTATTTTATTATTTAATATGTTTTGTTCTTATACGGCCATCATTATCTTTTGTTTTGTGATTGTGTAGGGCTGTAACAATGGAACGAACTTCATTATTGCAAAATGGAAACTAAGGTCAAAATCAAATCCTTCCTACTGCATTATGTGTTTCTGAAATTGAGTTGTTGGGCCATTTTATTCTAGTATTTCGCATACTTTTTGTTTTAAAAAGTGATGAAGCTTGGAATAATAATAGGAGCAGTCATCATATGATATGAAACTAAGGTCAAAATTAAATTCTTATGAACGAAAGGGGCTAGACTGCTCTACATATTCTAAACACCATATGATATGAAACAACAAATATATATATATATATATATATATATATGCGCCGCGTACTCAGATTAGTTGGTCGGACACCTGCGTGTCAGTTGTAAGTCCTCTCTGTGTTGAGGAAGGTGGAGACCTAGTCCACTTCCTATTACGGCAGATTCATATTTATAGAAATCATTTAATTCTTCTCTAAAATTCTTCTCTAATGTAATCCTCTAATGTAATCCTCCTTAATTATATTTTTTTCCTTTCCTGTAATCCGCCTAAGCTCTCCTTGCTGCCTCTTGCTTCTGCTAATAAGGAAGAAGCTGGACCTCGCCGATTGATTTGGATTCACAATTTATGTGGTTTCCTCATCTGCTGTTTACCAATTATTGGAAGTGAGATTTGGCAATTGAGAGTTTGCCTTAATGGGCCTTACATTGGATCATTTAAATAACGCAAGAAGGAATTGCATGGAAGTATTGGCTCCCTAGCTTCTTTGGTGAGGACTTACAGGAGAAAGAAAAAGAAAAGGCTCTGTTTATTTTCTTCTCCTTTGGCTTTCTGGTAGAGAAAGGGAATCTTGCTTCTCTTTTGTTTATTCCACCTCTCATGTAGCATGAGAGAGAGAGAGAGAGGAAGAGAGAAAGAGAAGAGAGAAAAAGTGTTTTTTGTAAACGTCGAGATGTTCGACGATGTAATTCCTCAAGTAATAAAATCCGCCGCAGCTCTGTGGACGTAGACAATTAGCCGAACCACGTAAATCTGTGTTTTCACTGTATTTTATATTTTGCAATTTTTCTCGATTTGATTTTTCACTTTATTGCTGTCGATTTTTCACAACAACTGGTATCAGAGCTTTGGTTCAAGGCTGAAAGAAGAACGATTGGCGGAGACGAAGTGATGACATTGATGATCAAGAAGTTCAATGACACAGATTTTAGTTACTGGAGGATGCAGATAGAGGACTACATCTATGGGAAAAAACTTAACTTGCCGTTGTTGGGAAAGAAGCCGGAAAAAATGGACGAGGCAGAATGGAATTTGTTGGATCGATAGGTTCTGGGGGTTGTTCGATTAACCCTGTCAAGATCCGTTGCCCATAACGTCATCAAGGAGAGGAGTATTGCAGATCTCATGACGGTTCTATCAGACATGTATGAAAAGCCATTAGCGAATAACATGTGCACCTGATGAAGAAGTTTTTTAACCTGAAGATGGCGGAAGGTGTGTCTGTTGCTCAACACCTGAATGAATTCAATAATATCACAAATAAATCAATTGTCGTCTGTTAAGTCTGTTAAAATTGATTTTGATGATGAGATACGTGCGTTGATATTATTGTCATTGTTGCCAAATAGCTGGAAAGTCATGAGGATGACAATTAACAGTTCTGCAGGTAAATCTAAACTTAAATATGATGATATTCGTGATTTGATTTTGTTGAGAAGGTGCGCAGGAAAGATTCTGACGATATTTCGGGTTTGAGTTCGACACTGATTGTTGATTTCATATGGAGATCACGAGACATGAATTCAAACAGAGGAAGATTGAAATCAAAGTTTTGTCAGCAGACAACCTGCTGGAATTGTGGCAAGGCTGGTCACATAAAAAGGAACTGTAGGAATCTCAAGAAGGAGAATGATGACGCTAATTTTGTAACTGAAGAAATACAGGATGTGCTATTGTTTACAGTTCACAGTTCTGAGTTCTGTTGATGACTGGATACTGGATTCAGGGACTTCCTTCCGTATATCGTCCCACCGCGAGCTGATGCAAAATTATGTTGCAGACAACTTTGGGAAGATACATCTGGCTGATGGAAAAGCTTTGAATGTGGTGGGGATGTGAGATGTTGATATTGCTCTTCTTAACAAGAGTAAATAAACTTTGCAAAAAGTCAGACATGTTCCTTAGTTGAAGAAAAACCTCATTTATGTTGGGCAGCTCAATGAGGGTGGTCATTCAGTAGTGTTCTCAGATAATACCTGGAAGGTTACTAAAGGAGCATTAGTACTGGCTCGGGGGAAGAAAATTGATACACTATATATGACTACATGTTTACTCAGACGTGGACATATGAGCCAGAGGTGTGTTATGGGGCAATAAAAGAAAGTCAATTTTCTAAAAAGTGGCAGAGCGCAAAAGGCAGAAAAACCAGGTATTGTATGGACAGATGGTGGAGAACCACAGAGCTATAAAAAAATCTTGCAAGATAAAAGTTCGAGCGAGTGGGAGCTGACAGAACTTCCACCCGAGAAGAAGGCGTTGCATAATAAGTGGGTGTACCGGGTGAAGACTGCGCTTGATGGCAGTAAAAGGTACAAGGTTTGACTTGTTGAAAAATGTCTTCAGTTGAGGCACGATATTGCCCATGCAGTGGGAGTTGCAAGCAGATTCATGAGTAACCTAGGAAAGAGCTTGGATATACAATTCTATGTTGACGGTGATATGTCAACTAAGGGTGTTACTTTGGAGAAACTGAAGTTGCGTGCAGCTTCAGTTGGTCTTCTAACATGAAGACAAAGGTTTTGAGTTGCAGAGGTGGAGGAAGGTGGAGGATATGACGTTTGAGGAAAAGGGCAGTGCTACCAGTGGATGGTGCAATTAGTGTTCCAGTCTTCAAGTGGGAGAATTGTTAACGAAGGTATAGACCCGGTTCACTTCCTATTACGGCAGATTCATATTTATAGAAATCATTTAATTCTTCTCTAATGTAATCCTCCTTAGTTATATTTTTTGCCTTTTTTGTAACCCGCCTAATCTCTCCTTCCCGCCTCTTGCTTCTGCTAATAAGGAAGAAACTGGACCTCGCCGATTGATTTGGATTCGCAATTTATGCGGTTTCCTCATCTGCTGTTTACCAATTATTGGAACTGAGATTTGACAATTGAAAGTTTGCCTTAATGGGCCTTACATTGGGTCATTTAAATAACGGAAGAAGGAATTGCATAGAAGCATTGGCTCCCTAGCTTCTTTGGTGAGGACTTACAGGAGAGAGAGAAAGAAAAGGCTCTGTTTATTTTCTTCTCCTTTGGCTTTCTGGTAGAGAAAGGGAATCTTGCTTCTCTTTTGTTTATTCCACCTCTCACGTAGCATTAGAGAGAGAGAGAGAGAGGGAGGAAGGAAAGTGTGCTTTTGTAAACGTTGAGGCTTTCGACGGTGTAATTCCTCAAGTAATAAAATCCTCTGCAGCTAATGCGATGGTCGGTGCTCGTATCATAGCCTCTGACCATTCCTTTGTCAATATATATATATATATATATAATTCCAAATTTTGCCATGTTTGCATTGTATAAATGAATTTTTTGGCTTCTCTACTCTGCACATCCGGGAAAACATTATGGGCATTATGGTGGTTTCAAAGAAGGGGACCGGTATTTTGCACATCTGTGTATCTATATGGGAACTTTTAAATTACTTATGATGAGAAACATAGAAGCAAAGAGTTTGCTTGCTTTCTTGTTGTGGTACAATTAACTAAATTCATGAGCTTATACATTGGAAAATAAAACTTATATCGCTTTGATTAATGAAATAGTATTAAGAACCCACAATCTTATTTTGTAACTGCGACCATTGAAATAATTGCTTGGATTTTGTATGCTTTTTCCCTGATTTCATTTTTATCATATGAGTTGTTAGTGTGTTATTAGTAGCTCAACTTGCCACAACTATTTGGTGTTGGATTTGTGAATTATCTGTGCCCTTTATCCTTGTTTGAGTGTTGCATGTGTTATGCAACTCTTAATTGTGACTCACAAAAGTTTATATATATATATATATATATATATATATATTGGACCGGTATTTTGCACATCTATGTATCTATATGGGAAATTTTAAATAACTTATGATGAGAACCATAGAAGCAAAGAGTTTGTTTGCTTTCTTATTGTGGTACAATTAACTAAATTCATGAGCTTATACATTGGAAACTAAAACTTATGTCGCTTTGATTAATGAAATAGTTTTAAGAACCCACATTCTTATTTTGTAACTGCGACTATTGAAATAATTGCTTGAATTTTGTATGTTTCTTTTCTGATATCTTTTTTATCTTATGAGTTGTGTGTTATTAGTAGCTCAACTTGCCCCAACTATTTGGTGTTGAATTTGTGAACTATCTGTGCCCTTTATTCTTGTTTGAGTGTCGCATGTATTATGGAACTGTGAATTGTGACTCGCAAAAGGTTTTTTTTTGTTGATTCTAATCATATTGCATTTAGTTTAACCCCTTTCGTCTGATTCCACTCTTGTCAATTCTCACCATGCAATTCCTCAAATCCAGTTTATAAATCAAAGTCATTTCATCATTTCGAATTCTATTACATATTTCACTAATATTCTTGTTTTTGCAAATCCAAATTGTTTTTTGCTGTTTTTTCTCAAGTCTTTATTATATTATTTTATCTGAAATAAGTAAGAAAAATGAGTGCAAGATGGCTTAGTGGTTATTTTTCTTGTGCAGATAGAATGATGCAATAAATGTAAATCACACAAGGAAAATTAAGATTCATAGATTAGAGACCACTAATTATATGAAAAGTTCATATAGATGCAAACTATAAAAAATGCAATACAATAAACAAATAAATTTGAAGAAATTAGAATCATACAAAAATAGATAGTAAATGCAATTTTTATGAAATACTCAAGGTTTTTGAACGATCTTAAACTCGACTCAAGGTTCATAATAAAACTTAGGTGCCAAGAGGGTACAATGTTCTCCCGTGGATAATAAATCACCAAAATGCCTATTCACGAATCATATTATTATGGCGCCATTAAAGTTCTAATTTACTTGCATTTAATATTGATTTGGTTGATGTGGCACATAGGCCAAGGACATGAGTTTAATCTTGCTTTCTAGCCAGCTGATCCCATTGTATTGGTCAGTCTGATCCCATTGTATTGGTCAGTCTGATCCCATTGTATTGGTTATTGGTCAGTCCCATTGTATTGGTCAGTCTGATCCCATTGTATTGGTCAGTCATCTCCTCAATATTTGCATTAAATGTGCTATATCAAAAGTTAAAATCAAACAAAATTAATTAAGCATGACGTCTTGTCTATAGGGTGAGGTCGTAAGACCCAACCATAGGTGTTGTTCTGCCTACAGGGTGGTGTTGGAAGACCATCAATTAGGCTGAGACTGTAAAAACCACTATTTTGGCTACATTAGCTATTGGATAATGCCATTAGATCTATTATTGGGTATTCCACATACTTGAGGTTGCAAGTCCCACTTATAGGCATACTAATTAATATAAGCCCTTCCAATCAATGCTGGCCAACATAAATAGACAAGCCCATAATATCTTGATTCCCGGGTTTTCTAATGGATGTAAACCCAACCTCAATTAAACTTGGGTTATCTCTTACATGAGCAAATCCATCAATAAATGTCAAACTCACCAATTGAAACTCATGGCCAGTTGATCGTTATTCAATACCTCTAAAGCCCTTTTCAGTCGTGTCTAATGCTATTAAACTGCAAGGGACTATGCTGTATGCCCTTGAATTATTCAGTGAAAATAGTATGGACAACCCTCTATTAGTGAAAGAGTTGGTGTCACCATCAAAATAATAGCTTTGATATGTGCACGATTCCACCTTGGTTTGTTCTTGATTCTTGAGATAAGAAACCTCATGGTGGCCAATCCCGCTAACACAGGCATCCTAAGTCCATTGTTGTGTCGGTGATAATTGAATTATGAGATATTTGAACACATATACTTTCATCTCCCCTAGCATTCTCTACTCAACTAATTCAAACCTAATTATCAAACCTAAGCATAAACTAAGAGCTTAAGAAACCTTAAATGAGTGTTTTTTACATGTGCAGAAGAGATAATTAACTATGGAAACTTGCATTTATATAAATTATAGAACACTGTTCTAAATTAATCGTAATTTAACTTCGAGGGGAGTTTAGTTAAACCAAACTTAATCTACCTTGAAAAAACTAGTCTCAAGTTCGGTTAGGAGTTTATGCGTAGTCCACGTCAAAAAACTTATAAGCAGTTTTGATATCTTGTTCTTAATTTCATATTCTTGCAGCTCTGCTACTGTTGAAAAGAGGCCGTCTAAAGCTGCTCTACCCTTCTACTTTTAAATGTTTTCCATGAATGAGAAGACAAGAGGTTGAATTCCCTTAAATTTCCATTATATAGGATTTCTATCATGGATTCATACAAAAGAACCAAGTCATAGTATTCTCTGAAATAAAATTATGAATTATATCCTCGTCCTCATTTTCAAAAATTGGTTATTGATTTATGTAGCTTTCTCCATCTAATGCCAGACTCCTTTATTCCTTTGCAGGACATACCTGAAATTTCCTTGGAGGCCTTTCATTTCAATTACAGGGACAACAACCTATGATTTGAATGAAGAGTTTCATGTATCTTTTTTAACTTTGTTTGTTTAAGTAGTTACCCACAAGTTTATTGGATGACAGGAGTTCTTCTCTTTGCAGATTGTGAAGCATGCTGAAAATTGGAATATATCTCCATTGGAAGCAATTGGTCAAATATTTGCTCCTGGTTCGAGAGAGGTCGGCGAGTAATGGGTGTACTTAAAGTATGTTTACATTGGATGCAGTTGGTCAGTATTTAATCCTGCTTCTAGAGAGGTTGCTGAGCAATGGAGTTGTTATTGCTAAGAATGCATTTTATGTGATATAATCCATTTGCATTATTATATACTATCGTCTGATGGCAAGGATTGCATCTTTTCTTGTATTGTTGTGTCATCTTTTTGTTATGAATAAGGGCTGAAAGCTATTGGATTGGGTTCAAAGTATGAAGCTAAACAACTCTGCCAAATCAACTCATCTAAGAGATCAATTTGCCCAGGAAATCAATTCTCCAAGGAGATCAACTCTCGCAGTAGATCAATTCGCCATGGGATCAACTCTCCTAGGAGATCAAGTCGATTAAGAGATCAACTCTCACATGAGATGAAGTCTCCTAGAAGACAACTCTCCCAAGATATCGACTCTCTCAGGAGATCAACTCTCTCAAAAGACCAACTCCCATAATGATCAACTCTCCTAAATCAATTAACCCATGAGATAAACTTCCCATTATTTTAACTCTCCTAAAAGATCAACTTTCATGAGATATTAACTCCTCTAGAAATAGTTACTCTTTCAAGAACTGCATTTATGCAAAAGAAAAATCACCAATATTAAATTTTATTAGAATAATATTAATCATAACGCCCATGTCAAAAAAAGACAAAGATGATAGATCAAAGATCTTTTGGGATTCATGTATAATAAATATTTTATTTGTACCGTATAAACTAACCCCTCTATATATAGCATTGTTCGCTATAATACAGGGAGGACCCTGATACGATCCAAATAGATATTTTAAAGAGGGCACAAAATCTTTTTAATTCAGGAATACCATATAACATAACACAAATACATAGAGATGAGCGCCTACAATTCAAGAGGCAATAAATCTCTTCCAAAACCTAGCTCTAAGACTCAGAGACAATAATCTTATGTATTCCCATAATCCTAAGCATATTAGTCATATTTATATTAAACAATAATAAATAACAAAAGACTAAATTGCCTTTAGGGTAATAGAAAACAAAATTGGCCTTAGGATAATAAAAGCAAACTTTTCATCACATAGAAAACATAACTCATTTGCTCGTTTTTCCTGAATCTATCTCTGTAAGGTGTTTGAAGTTGACCCCTGGACGAGCTCTCATATTCTTCTACTTCGCCGCCTCCCTCCAAAATGACATCATATGGGTCCTTGGTTCGTAGTCGTCGAGGAACACTTGTGTAATTCTCTCATGTTGATGCTTATAGTAGCTTTCTCTATCTGGTTCTTGTCTCCCACCATCGTGGCTAGCTCCATCATCTCTCTCAATCTCCGTCGTCTCAACAGTCGCAGTGTTGCATGTATGCTAGACTTTAGATCCTTCATGAAATTCCCCTCTAATTCTGCTTTAGAAATCTCCCTTAACCGTTCCAACATTTGCTTGAATCTCTCCATATACTCCATGACAGTCCCTTTCAAAGTCAATGCAAAGAATTGCTTGTGTAGACCTCCTTTCCAAATGGCTTGTAAATGTTTCAATAAATAATCTTTAAATTCTTCCCATGAGCGAATCAGATATTTGGCCTCCCTCCAGTAAAACTCGTTAGGGCTTTCCTCTCTAAATACAACTATGTTGCAATGAGCTTTTGCTCCCCATTTAACATATTCACCTCAAAATATTGTTTCGCCCGGTACACCGACCAATGTACATCTTCTATCTCAAAGATCGACATTTTCAACTTCCTAACCCTAGCATCCCCACCCTAACTTCCTCTCCCTCCATTATTTTCCTACATTTATTGATGCAAAAATTTCCTTCTTTGATCATATCCATATCTCATCTTGGCTTTTATTCTTTCTTCTTTGTGCTCCTCCATGGCCATTGCATAACCCTCCATGTTTTGACCAACTGCTTCCCTCATAAATCTTTAATCTAGCTCCTCATCGAAGCCATGGGGGTAGGTTCTTGATGTTGAATGCTTTCCTCCCCACATCTCTCTTGTCTGATCTCCTTCTAATTTTGATTTAGTAATGAATCTTCAGTCATTCCTTAGTTAGGGTTTGCAAACAGAATCATTGGCGGGGTCTTGCATTACATCTTAATAAGTTTCCTCATCTCCTTCTAAGTGTTTGAATCGGTTTTCAATGGATGAAAATTTTTTTGTCGATGGTTGAAAACTTCTCCCTTATCTTGAATTTAAGTTCTCTCACATCTTCCTCTAATTTTTTCTCCATATCATCTATTCTTTGCCGTCATTATTCCCCGGGAAGTTTTTCGATCACAAAAGATGAAAACCTATATATGTTGAAATGTCGTTGATGATTTCCAGGTGGCTTGAATCATGTTTTTACTGCAATATAGTAAGCCGTCATAGGTTTGATTTGATTTGAGGCCCGCTCCCGTTGGAAACACAATTTGAAACAAAAGGAAGATGTGTCTCTGTTCATCATGATCCCCAAACAACCTTCTCAGTTGGCTCTAATCACCACTATATCACAATATGCAGTCACAAAGGAGATTGCAATCTCGCATTGCTTCCCCAATAGCTCCAATTGTGATTACAAGACTTCTGTGTGATCGTATGACAAGGCTTCAATCACCAAGGCATGTACACTGCGATGCCCTCGATGCTTCCTCGCTTGCACTTGTCACGTCGATCCACCTCGTACTTGCGCTGGTATCCCATAGTCTCTTCTCTTATCACCAAAATCATCATGAGTTAGGTCACGAAGGTGGCTCGTATATAGGGCTGTCAATTTGGCTCGTTGTTCTTGAACAGCTCGTGTTCGACTCGTTAAGTAGCTCGTGTTCGGCTCGTTCGTTAAGCCTAAC